GTACACATTAGCCACACTAATTGCGGTATTCCTGTAATGTATAAACTAAAAAACATTTATAGTTGAATTGGTACCCGCAATTCATACATTCATATGAAAGATATTTATAACCACATTAAATAAACATCATAATCCACTTTCCCATTCTCTTTAAACTGTATAATAAATGCCTCATTGCCTCTTGCTTTCCTTCATGCTGGAAATCCTTATCTGTTGTTCCAGTTTGTAAGAACTCAGGTGAATCATCTGACCATTCCAACTATTGGCCTGTTAGCCTTCTGCATCGTTTTGGGAAACTACTAGAGGCTCTAATCAAGGCTGAATTAGTTAAGCAACTCACATTGATGGGCCTTCTTTAAGACAAGCAATATGGCCTTTGTTTCTCTAAGTCAACTGCTCATGTTCTGATGATAATTGCAGAAAGAGTCTATCAAGCTCTAGATAAGAATGATGAGGCTCAGACTGTTGCTTTGGACATCTCAAAGCTTTTGACAGGATTTGGCATGCAGATCTTCACAAATTGAAAATTTATGATGTCTCTGGACAAATTTTCTTATCAAATCTTGAAATGAAGTTATCCTGAACAGCCACTCTTCTAGATTCTTTTGCACTAATTCAGTTGTCCCCCCCCCGGGATCTATCCTTGGTCCTACTTTGTTTTCAAATTTTCATTAACAACCTTCCTGGTGGCATTAGCTCTCAACTTGGTATCTATGCTGATGATACAACCATTTACTTCTGTTTTGATACCAAGTCTGATTGGTCTTATAAGGTCAATTTGGCAGCTGATGTCAAAAACAACATTCAGTCTGTTCTTAATTTGGGCAAAGAATGGTTTGTTAATTTTATTGCTTCTGAAACTAAACTGCTCTATTAATCATCCGAGAGACCCCTTTCTGCCTTCCATCAGTATGGCTGATACTAACCTTAAGGAGAGTGACTTGTTGCACCGTCTTGGTTGACATGCAGTCGGAAGTCTATACTGAATCCAGGTTAGCTGCTAAAAAAGTTGTCTCACTGTGTTGTGCTAGACAATTTTTCTATCCAGAATCTATCTTACATATCTATACCATTCATCTATACTTAGAATCTTGCTGTCACATATGGCCTGGTGCTCTTGCCATATATCTAGTGATCCTTGATAAAATCCAAAGTCAGCAATATTATTGGTCCTGATCTGGCATCTTGGATTCAGTCACTTTCACAATGCTGTAAAATTGCCTCCCCCTGCTTTTTTTATAAATACTTCCATGGTAACTTTTTGGGTGAGCTCTTTGTCAGGGTATCAAGACTTTTTGAATTTAAGCACAGTATTAGACCAGCAACAAAATCTCACCAATATACAGTTGAGTTGGCTAGATGTAACCATAAGTTCTATGTTAACGGTTTCTTTTCTCACACTTTTTGATTGTGGAACACTTCTGGCTCTATGGTTTTCAGTCAGCTTTAAACTTCAAAAATTTAAATGCAATGTCAATTGCTTTCTACTGTCCTCCTGATTATTCTTCTTTTGTTTTGGCTACTGAGTAGAGTTTCTGTATTCTAATTCTTCAACACCCTGTGTGTAACCCCTTGAGTCCTTGTGGCTTTTACTGCCTTGCTTGGGGCGAAATCGATTAAAAAAAATAAATAAATAAAATAACAAACTATGCATGTCAACTGTTTCTTTACAACGCATGAACTAATATTCTTATGATTACTACTGCATAACTTACTAGCATAAAGAAAAGAAGGCATTGGTTCTTGAAAATTACCTTTTTTCTGTAACTTTTTTTTGCATAAAGGACATCTTTCATTCTTTCAAGGATTATTATTACGAGGAAAAAGTATTTTGAAGATGCCGCGCATGCGTACAAACAGTAAAAAAAATTCGCTAATGCGACAAGTTACTTTATTTATCACTAATTGATAGAGTATAAAATGAAAAAAGGGAAAAAAGTGGCTTTCACAAACGTTGAAATCTGAAAAAAAAAAACAAAAAAACAAACAAATCCAGCTATTTTACAAAAAAAAAACACAACTTAGCTGTGTAGTTAAAAAAAGTGACCGAGAAAAGATTAAAAATTAAATTAAAATTTAAAAACTTAAATTTTTTCGGACGCTAAGTTTTTTAAAGTGAAATTACAAAAAAAAGTTTAACGTGGAACCCTAACCCTAAAACCTACAGTGAGCAGAATAAGTAAAGTAAATAGTGTAAAAAACAATTTCAAAATAACTCAGTTACAGTTGTAGATCACTAGTGTAGTGTAGCAATAATCTGAGGGTCACACGTTTTTCATCTCTTCTGGGTCAGGGTCATAAAAGAAAGTCGTTGAAAATAGACAAAAAGTCATAATTTTTCATACCTTTCAACAGCATTATTCTTCATTTTATTTTTATTTATTTATTTTTATTTTAGATTGGAGGAATGTGAGGCATTTTAAATAAAAACTAACGAAGGCTGAAGTTTTCTAGTTTTAAAAACAAAATTCAAATAGAAACAGAAACTCAATAGAAAAATTTAACATTTTGAACCAGGTTCAAAATATGAATGGAAAACTTGTTTTGTGATGACAGTTTGAATTTGGTTCAAACTGAGTTTTTTTTCTACTCTTTGGTCTTCTTGTCATGGATTTTTTTCTTATTCATTTTTTATTTAACAGCCTAAAAGGATGCCAAAAGAAAGATGTAATTTAGTGTAGTAATAATCACAATTTTCATCGCACCCACCTCCTTAAAAAGAATTTCAATTTTTAGGCACTTGCCGCAGACCCCGCTTCTCAATCCTTCCATAGATTTTTAATCATTTTTTTTTTTTACTACTTTGTTTCTCTTACCTATTATTTTATTCGACGGAGAAATATAAATGACATTGAATGAAAAGAATAAGATTTTCGAATTAAAGAGGAATTTCGTCCTCCTTAATCATTAAGTAGGGGCATATTTAGAACAATTTTACTTTTTAAAGGGAATGAAAAAGAAAGATGCAATACAGACCTCTGTTCTGTTCTGTTCATATGCACGAAGTGCTCAAATAAAAATTGATTTGCTTAGATTTGTGATACTAAATAATTCAACACGATAAAAATTTTATCAATGTCCAAGTAAAATTATTTCTGAAGTTAAATAACTGCCTCACACTTCTTGTGTTTTACTTTTTTTACGACTTGAATAAGTAGAGCTAAACAACAAAGAAATTTAATAACAGTTTGATTTGAATTAGAGAATGTATGTATGTATTGGTTACAAAAGTTATTTAAGGATAAAGAAGAAATAATTTGATCTAAAAATAATTTTTTGCTCATTTCTCAAGATTATTACAAAAAAGATTGTCTAAAAAGCAATTAAGGTTTATTCAGAAAATACACACCTGACCCGGGGACCCCTCTAAAAGGCAGGTTATAAAAAATAGGAATAGAAATGGTTATATGTTTAAGTTAAATTTATTATCTTCAAGAACTTGATAAAACGAATAATAGAAACATGAAAATAAACATGTAGAGTAATTAATTTTGTAAATAAGATCATTTAAGGTGTAACTGTAGTAATTAAACTATAAATTTTAGAAACATTTTTCTTTCTGTCAGTGAAGAAATCACCGGCTAAATTGTTGATTGAATTACAAGAGGTTGATGAAAAGTTCTCGGCCGGATCCACTTTTCAAAATTCTAACCATTATTTCAATGATATATAAAAATATTGGTTTTTGGAGGTGATAACAACTTATCAACATCCCTTTGTCATCAATAGATTTTTTTTAAAAGCATTATTTATTATGAAAGACATTATTAACATTGGGGATATTTTTAAAAATTTCCTTCGTCAAATTATAGTATGTCGTTAAGTTTTCTCGGTTTATATCTTAATTTTGGAGTTATTTATTTTCATTGAATTATTAAAAAAGGTATGGAAGAAAAAAAAAAAATAAACAAAATCTCCAAAGATAGACATGTCTTTAACTTTTCAACAGAACGGTTTATGGTATATAGTGGTCACATGGCTTCTTTATAATTTCTCCCAGAAAGCATCCTTAACTTAGAAAGCTAAAGCAAATTATTCAGTTAATAAAATTAATAATACCGTTTACAATTTCTTTTTTTTAAATTATGAAATAAAGTGATTAGAGATTTTTCCCAATCTCATAAAAAAGGTTAATTTTCGGTCATTTTTTAAATGTGCTCACGATATGAGACCCCCCCCCGCAAAAAAATTCCTTTTTTTTTTTTTTTTTGTAACATAAAAGTGTAAAAAGTAATAAACCATAAAATTACGTTACAAGATATACTCAAACTCTTTCTCCATTATTGAAAATTAAATAAACTAAACATGTGTTGTATTATTATCCTGACTAGGGCTGTAATTGTTGCTTAAAAAATTAAAACTAAAAGGTTTCTGGAAATCAATGCTTAATCAACAAAAAAACATAAGGGATTTTTATTTTTTAGAGAAACAAAACCGAAGTAAACTTATTTAAAAACATATTTTTTTTTATAACTATGATATGAATAAAGAAAGAGTAAAAAAACTAAAAATTAAATGTAACTATAACAGGGCTTTTGAAATCTGAGCTCAGGTAAATTTTCTTTTTTCGTTGTCTTTTTTTTTTTTTTTTTTAGAAAATACTAAAATTTGCATGGAGTAAAAACAGAATTTTTAAAAATGCAAAACACAAAAAACAACATTTTTTTTTAAGAATCTGAATAAAATAGAAAAAAAGGAAGTTGATTTAATTTTAATACCCATATTTTTATAAGTATGTGTTTTACTTTAGTTTGTATGTTTTGATATTGAAATGGAAAGGAAAAAAATCCATTTACTAATTGTAGTAAAAATTCATTTAACCATGTGGGCAAAAAGAAATAAGACGGGTTTTAACTGCAGTGTAAGATTTACAAATAATTACGGTACCGATGAAAATTTCTTTGAACTTATACGATAAAATTTAAATTTTTTTGTTTTAAATTAAAATTTAAATTATTATTAAAAGCTCTAACATAATAAATTTGTTCAGCGCATTTTACCTCCAGTAGCAGCAAGACCGCTCATCTTTAAATTTGTGGATGGAATGAAGAATTGACGCGTGTGTGTTATCGAGTTGCTGTTCAAGCGAAGATTTTACCATGAAATAAACGACACATGCTTTAGCCTGAGAATATAAGGAACCAACAGCTGGCTTGCCTGGCTGTCTTTCTTAAATGTCTTTCTCTTTCTCTCTATCACACATCATTTTGTGGTGAAGGACAGGGAAAATCGACCCCCACATCATGTATCTCATTCTTTGCTCTCTTTCTCTTGTATCTTTCTCTCTATCTTTCTTTTCCTTTTTTCTTCCCTCTTTCGGTAGTCAGTTTATTACAGAGTTTAATTTTTATATCCATTGCTACTGGATGGGTCAGTGGGGCAAATATGCCTTACGAACAAATAAGCTGAGAGTATGTGAAAGCACCCACATACATTGATTATATATATATATATATATATATATATATATATATATATATATATATATATATATATATATATATATATATATATATCAGTAAAAGCACGTCATTTATAAACTGACACGTGACACAGCAATAAAAAACTACATATATACATATGATTAACTTAAGGGAGAGTAAATGTGTTTATTTATTTATTTTTTTACTAATGTTTACCCAATAGAAAGCCCTATAGCCACTCAAGGTAGAGAATTACTGTATGGTATTGTATTAGCATAAAAAAGGGCAAGTAATGAAGACAACCTCTAACACCAGACTTGAAGAGGTCAAGATTTAATTAGTGGATAACATTTCAGAGTTCAATCGGAGACATTTAGAAGTATAATGTGGAACTAAACTTTAGAAAGAACCAGAAACCCAATCCTAAACAGAAAATAAGGGATAAACCTCTACTCCAGTTCAAAAGACTGGGGAGGAGTGTGAACCAGACAACAGGTGACTCTTATTTACTCCTATTTCTGATTTAGCATTATAAGCTTTCAAACAGTTGTGGATATAAAAACCATACATACACATGCCTCAACATATATATATATATATATATATATATAATTAATACAAGCAAAAGTTTTGTCACTTAGCTGATTGCTGTTACCTTCAGCATCCCAACTCTCTCTCTCTCTCTATATATATATATATATATATATAATATGCATGCACTTTGAGTTTTATGTCACTAATGTGTCGAGTATGTATTGGATATTTGTATCTGTAGAGAGAGATATACACAACTTTACAATACACATAGTGATTATTATAATCAGATTATACGATTATATAATATATGTGTGTGTGTATATAATCATGAGTGAAAAATATAAATTAACTCTGAGAGAATGGTTAACTAAAGAACAAGTTGGAAAATGTCCATGAATAAAATTCAACATGTTTCAATCTTTACTTTGTGTACTTCATCAGGAATTTTATGGAAAGTGAAATAATGTGCAATTAAGTTTCTATTAAGTCTTTAACATTTCATTTCACTGCAAAATTTCTGATATAGCTAAAATAGCAACACATGTTAAATTTATTAATATTTTTCTACTTGTTGTTATTATATATATATATATATATATATATATATATATATATATATATGTATTTAGGTAGAGGGTTACTTTAAGGGGTAGTTTATAGGAATAGGAGGGGAAGATAATGGTTAACTCTAGACTTGATCAGGTTAAGATTGTAGTGACCAGGGAAACATCCTCTTGGGAGTCTGTTCCACTGGGCAATGGTTTATGGGAAGAATCTGTTTAAGTGGAACTTATTTCTTGCCAATGGAATGGTTTGCTACATATAGCCATCATATACAGACATACATGCATTCATGTATTCATGGAGGCTTTATGCATTGGTTTAATGGATAAAGGCTCAAAATGAGAAATCCCTGAACATTCAAGATTACAGCACCTGGTATTTCCAAGCATTCACCTATCTAGGTCAGACCAGGCTGGATGTTGCTTAACTTTGGTGACCAGACAAGAACTGGCATTTCATGATATGGCCATAAGCCATCATATACACACATACATGCATTCATGGAGGGCACATTCTGATATAAATACATTACTACATACAGGGGTCTATCAAATAATTTCTTCTCTCCTCAAATTGTTTACTTTGTGTCCCTTTCTAAACATATTTCCCTTAAAACTTTAAACAGAAATTTTTAGCAGGAAAGAATACCAAGTGGGACCAGGCTATTTTTGATGACTGGGTATTTGATTGACACACGATAATATGCATATTGTGAAAGACCTCACAAATTGGTGAACTTCATGTTCCTTTCTGTCATTGTGCCATCTCCTGAATGGAGGGTTTTTGGGGGTCGCTAGTCATGGCTATGACTGCATATATTTACCTGTCTTCATAAGTGTGTATGTTTGCAGCTAGACAGATGCAGCAGGGTGCAAAAGTTGGTATATAGCAATCTTTGCCTATAATTCTTTGATTTGCTTCTTTTGTTAGTTAAATTACTAACCATAATTATCTGAAAGTAAACATAAAGAAAGAATATGAAATAATAAAATATAAAATCAATAATAAAGGACTCTGCTCCATACATATGTATTTCATAGATTTACATATGAATGCTTGTCTACTTATGCTTTTGCACTTCTTTCTTGCATTCACTTCTGCATTCTCTCTCTCTCTCTCTCTCTATCTATCTATCTATATATATATATATATATATATATATATATATATATATATAGAGAGAGAGAGAGATGGATAATAATATATATATATATATAAAATATATGAAGAAATATAGTCTTAAAATGTGCTATATTTATGGGATAAAGTGCTCAATATCAGAGATAGAGGCGTGTGTAAAATATAAAAGTGGACATAGAAATCAACACTTAGAGGTGACAGTCTGTTTCATGCTAGATGCATCTAGCATGAAACAGACTGTCACTCTAAGATGCTAGATGCATCTAGCATGAAACAGACTGTCGCCTCTAAGTGTTGACTTCTATGTCCACTTTTATATTTATATATAAAATATATAAATATATATATATATTTATATAAATAAATTCCCAAGAGGATAGAATCCAGGTAGAACTCAATGTCCCAGACAGAGTAAGAATATAATATAAAAGGCTCAAGCACTAATATTCCATGATTATAATTTATTACATTGGAATTGGAATTATGATCTAATTTATCAGACCTACAAATTCAAAAGTTTTTGAACATGTAGGTCTGATGAATTGATTGTAATTTCAATTCCAATGTAATAAATTATAACCATGGAATATTAGTTTTTATATATATATATATATATATATATATATATATATATATATATATATAGACACATACACACACACACATATATATATATATATATATATATATATATATATATATATATATAGAGAGAGAGAGAGAGAGAGAGAGACATACATACACACATACACATACACACACACATACATGCACACAATCTCCTATGGTGAAACATATTTTATTTAATGTTGGTTATTTCTATTGTATTATAATGGCTTCTTGAATTTTTCTTTGCAATCACAAACAACAAAAATACTATTAATATAAGGCAAATTTTAATAGATAACACTAATATATTATATAGGACTCGATGTGAAGAAAAACTTAAAATTCTGAAAGCTGTTGTAATACAAGAGAAACCAAAAATATTAAATATGTTATCTTTCTCTATAGGAGATCATGTATTGAAGTAATGTATGTAAAAATATAATAAACCAAAAAGCCTTCAGGGATTGTAATTTTGAGTTTCATACAATGCAATCATCAGACAACAAGCTCCTTGTTTTTTGTTGCCTGATGATTGCATAACATCAACCTCTATAATTTGGATCTGAGTTCCTGAGTGCTCTTTGGTTTGTTAGTGTTACTACTCTGTCTAATTTCTAGAGGTAATGAGCACTTTAGGTTTTTTTTATAGATAGATATCTATCTTTTTCTTTTTGTATTTTCTTCCCTTTCTTTTGTCTTTTTGTGATGTTTTTTCTTGGTCATTCTTCTTGTTTCTTTATAGTCATTTCATGTTTTTTTCTTGCAGCAGGCTTAGTATCAGTAGGATTGTTTTTTGACACTTTACCAATAGTGTGGTTTTGGTCACACACAAAAACACACACCCACACACAAAAAATATATATATATACATTGTCATGCTGCAAAAACAGCTAACAATTCTTTTAAACTAAAAATGTCAAGGCATGGTCCACCCAAAGTCCAGATCTCAATCTAATTGAGAATCTTTGTAAGATCATCAGTGATAATGTTAGGGCAAAGAAACTGATAACAGTGACTGATTCATGACAGAAATCACAGGAGGAATGGAACAAAATTATGTCTGATTGTGGTTATAACTGCAAAAAAGTAAATAAACCATGGCTTATACACTTCTTACTAATATTCTGTATCAATATTAAGTCAATAATGTTGTTAATTTCTATATTGACAGTTTTCTTCTAAGAAATTTTACTGCAATTTTTATCACAATCAAATCTGTAGAATTGGAATTTTTAAGATTTTTTAAAATTTGATCATTAATACTGTATATGTATGTATGTTGATCAGTTTGCAGCCGAATGATAAAAAATGTGTTTATTTTTACAGTATTAATTTAAATTAATTTTTAACATAATTTCTTTCTTCATCAATGCATTTAATTTTGTGGTTAAATATTAATGACATAAATAAAACATTTTACAGTGAAAATTTCAGATAAAAATTCAGCTAATAACTCTTTGTTAAGATATGGATTTACTTATCCACACTCATCTCTCTCTTTCTCTCTTTTGTGAGTTTATATATATATATATATATGTTTGTGTGTTTGTGTATGCATGATCCAAAATATAGTTTTATGGTGTGCTATATTGATGTATTAAAGTGCACAATATCAGATATAGAGCATATACATTGAGGTCAACACCCAGCAGCAACAGTCTGTTTCATGCTTATATGTAATCATGAGGGTGTTGACCTCAATGTCCACTTTATATATATATATATATATATATATATATATATATATTTATA